CTATGGAAGTAGATTGCCCAACCTTCCTTCCAAGAAGTGGCTGGTGGGTTTGAACTGCCAGCCTCCTGGTTAGCAATCAAGTGCCTTAGGCACTACTCTACCAGAACTCCTGTAGAGCTCTGAGGTACTGCAATAATATAAATTCTATAGCTGGTTGGGTTTAAAGAATATAAATGTATTTTCTTATAGCTTGGAGACTAAAAGTCCAAATCGGGGTCTTGGTTGTGTTGTTTCCACAGTTTCTGGTGTCTGCCAGTGATACTTGGTGCTCCTTTTCTTATAGATAATCCTCACATGTCATCTGTCTTCTCCTATGTGTACGACTCTGTTGGTTCTGGTTTTTGGGGTTATTTTTGTTTGTTTGTTTGTTTATATAACTCAGAAGTGATTAGGTTTAGAATCTACCCGACATTGGTATAATCTCAACTGATTCAATGGATACATTACATTTAGTTTGCATTATGGAGGGTCGTTTAAGTTACAGAAGGTAATCTGCTTTTCCCAAGGCCAATTTATTTAAACACACAAAACTACCCCATGACTGCAACTAGACTATTAGACTAGTTTGGCCAAACAACTGGGTGAAGCCATCCCAGATGGCCCAGCCTTAACTAAAATAGACCAAACTAAAATAACTGCCTAGCTTACCCAGAGAATTTTGAGACATAATCATTTTTAAAAACTAGTAAATTTTGTGTATAGTTAGGTAAAAAAGGTCAAAAAATATAATCTCTGAAAAGACCCCAAAATTCTGTAAAACTTTAGGCACATACTCCTCTAACATCTCTAAGAATGCAACAAATGTTTCACTCATAAATATCCCAGGCTTTCTGCTTCTCTCTTCTCCCTTTCCAACTGCTTTCCTTATATATTAAGTTTAGAGCTCACCTGTTTGATGTAGATTTTGTTTGTTTGTTTGTTTTCTGAGAATTTACTTACTTTTCTGGCTAAACTATTCCCTCCAGAATCCAGACTGGTCATTCATCCCCTTGTCAGCTTCCCATAGCAACCATTCCCAGTAACTTAGTTCTTTTTAAAGTAGATGAGAAGAATAAGGACCTAAAATTTTCATATTTTTGCCTCTTAAATGTCTCTCAAACCCATTCTCTCCCTCCCATCCCTATCCCTTTTACCATTGTCTCATTATTTCAGGATCTAACAGTTTCTTGGATACATGATCATATGTCATGAAGTCTCCCAGGCTTTCAGTCTCAGACCCACAAATCCACTCTCCATACTGTTGTTGCCAGAGTGATCTTCTAGAATGCAAATTGGCTTAAAACCCTTCAATGGCTTCTCATTCAAGTCTGCCTAGATCAGAAGAACAAAAATATACTTAGGACTCACTGAGTGCTCACCCAACACTGTTCTATGTGCTGTACATATAAAGTTGGATAAGTCAATCCCTGCTCTCAAGGATGGCATTCTAATAAAGGGAGATTGACAGAAAAACATTTATTTTCAATCTAAGGAGAAAAGAACTAAGATGGGGGAAAAGCACAAAGGAAGAGAATTTGGCAAAAGTCAGGAAGCCTTCCTGAAAGAGATGACACTTAAATTGTCTTAAAGGCTGACTGAAATTAGCCAGGCAAAGAAGGGCAAAGGGCTACTAGGCAGAGGGAACAACATCACCAAAGACACAGTCATACATCAGCACGCTGCTTGGTGTAGGGAACAAACTTCAAACAGTTCTGTATCATTTGAGGATCAATAATAAAGGTGGTATAGGAGAGTTGTGTCTCAGAAAGGGGTTATGGTAGGCGGGATTATGGCTTCCCAAACAGTTCATGTCCTAATTTCCAAAACCTAAGAATATGCTGTTATATGGCAAGAAGAATTTAAGATTGCAGATGGACTTAAGGTTGCTAATCAGCTGACTTCACATTAAAGAAAGTATACTGGAATACCTGTTGTTGTTGTTATGTGCCGTCGAGTCAAACCTGGCTCATAGCGACCCCTCCTTGGGTTTCCAAGGCAGTATCACTACAGAAGTAGGATTGCCCAACCTTCCTTCCGAGGAGTGGCTGGTGGGTTTGAACCACCAGCCGTCTGGTTAGCAGGCAAGTGTCTTAGCCACTATGCTACCAGAGCTCCCATACCTAGGTGGCCTTAATGTAATCACAAAGATCCTTTGAATGTGAAAGAGGGAGGTAGAAAGTCAGAGTCAGAGAGAGATCTGAAGATGCTAGACTGTTGGCTTTGATGATGAACGAGTCATGAGCCCAGAAAGCCTCTAGACGGTGGAAAAGGCTAAGCCATACTATCCTCCATAGAATCTTCAGAGGGAACGCAGCCTGCCGAAACCTTGGTTTTAACCCAGTGATACTAATTTTGGACTTCTGACTTCTGAAACTGTAAGGCAATAAATTTGTGCTGTGTTAAGCCACTACATTTGTGATCATTTGTTTGCCATAGGGCAACAGGAAACTAATACAGGGGTGAAGTCACAGAGGCTATCACATGAATTGTGTGAAGCATGCCTTAGGGTGATTCAAGCTTTAATGCACGAAAGAGATATGGTCAGTTTGCAATCAAGGATCAATCTGATAGCAAAATTAAAGATGGATTACTGGGGTATGTGGTAGCAGGGAGATGTTATAAGGCTTTGTTAATGGCATGAACAAGAAATAATGAGTGGCTTAATTGAGAGAGTGGTGTAGAGTTGGACAGGAGGGGAAGATTACTTTCCTCAAAACTAAGGAAGGGATTAACTGAATGAAGGGATGAGGGGGAAAGGATATATCTATGAGTATTCCCCAGTTTCTGGTTTAAGTAGTTCATGGTATTGTAACTGAAATGGGAAATGCAGGAAGAAGAATGAGGCCTTTGTTTATTTTGTCCTGTTTTGGTGAAGTCACTTGGGTGTTGAGATTTGAGTGCATTGAATTTGAAAGGACTGTGAGATAGCCATGTGTAAAACTACCAAACACTGTATCCCAAGGTTGGAATTTTAAATTTAGGAACCTGGTGGTGCAATGGTTACATGCTTGGCTGCTAAGCAAATGGTCATGTTTGGAACCTAGCAGCCACTCTGAGGTACAATCTACCCCCATAAAGATTTCAGCCTTGGAAACCATATGCAGCGGTTCTATTCTGTCCTAAAGGGTTACTGTGAATTGGAATCAGCTTGATGGCACACAACAGCAACAATCCCTGGAGAAGGACATTATGCTTGGTAAAGCAGAGGGTCAGAGAAAAAGAAGACACACCCTCAATGAGATGGACTGGCACTGTGGCTGCAGCAGGGGGTTCAGAGCAACCACTGTAATGATGGATGGTACAGGACCAGGCAACGCTACCCTCTGTTACACATAGGGTCAACCATGAGTTGAAGTTGGACAGCAGGCACCTCGCAACAACAAACCATATGAGCGGTATTGAAATAAATAGAACAGATGTAAGAGTAGAGTGTATTGATTAAGAACACAGCCTCTGGGGCCACCACTTACCAGTCATTATCATTCTTCTACAATCTTTGAAAATAGGTGGAAGTATAGACAAGGATGTTAGAAGGATTAATCGAGGTAGGTGTTTAGGACAACACCTGGTGTTAGTAATTTCTCAGTAAATGGTAGACATTATGAAATGATCTAGAAATAACAGAAAAGAGCAGTGGATTAAGGAATGTATGAGGCTAACTTCAAACCACTAATAAATTAGATAGTCTTTCCTCAGGGTAGTCAATCTAATTAGCTCCCTGAGGTAGGGGGCATGTAATAGAAGCCTTGACTTGAATTCTCATGTTATTTGTATGCTTTAATCCTAATACTTTTTTCTCTCCAAAAATGAAATTGATTAACAGGACGGTGGTCACGACCCAGTTCTAAGAACTGGGTAGACAAGACAGAACTGCAAAGAACCACTGAAGTTTACATTTCGAGGAACACGGATTAACATCTGCTACTTTTGCTACCGGGAGCTCTGCTAGCATAGTGGCTAAGACACTTGCCTGCTAACCAGACGGCTGGCGGTTCAAACCCACCAGCCACTCCTCGGAAGGAAGGTTGGGCAATCCTACTTCTGTAGTGATACTGCCTCGGAAACCCAAGGAGGGGTCGCTATGAGTCAGGGCCGACTCCACGGCACATAACAACAACAACACTTTTGCTACCATGACAGCCATGGTCTGCTCTCCCACAATAGAGCTGTTGATAAACTTCCTGCCACCCTACTTACACCGCTCAACTTCCTCAGCTCCGGGCTGACGCATTGTTGAGCTCAGCCCCAGGTGACACCATTCTGGTCTCAGCCCCTCTGCATGCAAATGCTTTAATAAACTTTTTTTCAAAACTCTACCTGTCTGATTCTCTCCCAGCAACGAAACTTACACTATGTTTTATTCACTGCTGCATGCCCAGTGCCTAGCAAAATGACTGGGCCAGAGGTACTTTATCAATACTAAAGAAAAAGAGAAAGGGGAAAAATGGGAGAAAGATGAAGCAGCAGCAGGAGAGAGAAAAGAGAGCAAGAAAAAGAAACCTAGAGGAGGGAGGGCAAGAGGCGAGATTATGCCTGGGCGGAAGGTGGTCACAGTGTCTGTAACAGGCCACGGTAGAGAGCCAGACGTTTTGCCCTAGAATGGCACATACAATCACTCCTGGATGTTTCTTGAAATTAATTATACTTCTTCAGGGGCCCAGAGGGATTACACTGCTACCCACTGTAGCAAAGCTGTATACAACATTATGATTTAAACGAGGAGTAATGGTTTCTGGGAGAAATAAAGTTTCGACCTCGGCCCTCCTAGACCGGCCTCCAGACTAGACGTCCCAACTCAGAGGCCCTCACACTCCGCGGTCAAGGCCCTGCATAGGCAGTGAGCACGAGTGGCCCGCCTCCTGAGGGCCTCACCACATCGAATCTGGAACGCGGGAGTGGGCGGGGCCTCGGGAACACAGTCACTGGTCATTCCCAGTCCGTCCAGGACTGAAGGACGGAGAAGAGTTGTGAGGGAAGGCCACAGGGGTGGCGGCAGGGAATCAGGGGGACCCAGGCCGGCCATGGAGCTGTACCTCAGCGCCTGCTCCAAGACTGCCGAAGCTGCCACCAAGATGGCCACCAGCCGTCTGGCTGCGGAGAGCCAACAGTGTGGAGACGTGAGTGGCCTCCCACTGGGCCTTGTTGTCCTCCACAACACCCCAGGGCCTGTTGCGAGACGGCAGCGAAGGGGATTGCGGTAGAGAGGAAGGAGCGGCTCTTAACCGTCCAGCTACTGGCGCCCTCGTGCGGCATGGCGGGTGGCTTGGGCGGTACTGGCCGCCACCTACCCGCTCTGAGCCGGAGGTCTGGGTCGGGGGGGTTGTCCAACAGGGTGGGGCTCCTTCAACCCTGGGCATCTGATTCTTAGGTTTATTTGGAGAATTTGGCACATAGAAGTGTGTGTAGATTGGCATAAATCGAAATGAGCTATTCATAATAGGAAAAACAATTCTCCAATTGTATCTGACAGGGCACACACAGAACCCACTTTCCAGGGGTCGGAGCAGCTCAACTACTGGATCTACCTCTTGGGGTCAAGTTGCCCGTGATCCCAGGAAGCAATACTGTGCTGTATACTACGAGTTTAAGTGAAAGGGTAAACGAATTTTTAATTGGTTTACACTCATTTTCGTTGCCTATTTTTAACTCCTGTTAAATTCAGAAGCTCCATCACGAAAAGTCCATTAATGGAATTTGCAGTTAACATTTAAAGGAAAATAATAATAATAATTGAACCCAAATTTGACCAAACAAGCTGTTTAGGGTATGTATCAAACAATTATATCTAGTATGATGTGGACAGAATCATGAGGCAGAAAATTTAGATTCTTAGTCCTGTCTTTTAACTTTTAACTTAAACCATTTTAAAGTTTCTTTATAATTTGATTTCTTTAGGAACACGTTTGATTGAAGGATAACAAGTTATCATTGGTGACTAGCATTTAATTATGTTAGGGTTTCAACCAATAATAATTCTCATCACAGAATACTTGTACATGATTTGGTTTTGAGCCAAGTTCTAGTTCACACATAAAGTTTTAAAAAGAAAGCAAAAAAACCCGGAGTTAAAATAAGTTCATTTATTTAGTGCCTTAACCTCACTTTCTGCCCCTTTGAGGAACCTCCAAAATTAGTGCCGGCCTCCCCCTCCAGTCTTCTCTCCAACCCAGAACCTCAGCTTCCTCAGGTTGGGGTATTTTATTACCTACACATACTATATTAATACTTCTGTACATTTGTTTTCCGGCTTCCAAAACCTAGCATATCCTTTCTTTTCCTCTCCTGTGTATGGATTTGAGACATTTTTCAAGATTCTATCACAGCCCGCAATTAATTTATCTTCCTTAGAATTCCCTTCCCCTTAGTTTCTAAGATCTCACCCAACACTTAATCATATTAGGTTGTAGCATGTACTTCCCTCATGCCATTTTGTGATTTTATTGTTTCACCTATGCACCCCCAGTATCCCGTCTTCAGCTAAGTACTCTACACTGAATGTCAGCTAAGTACTCTACACTGAATGAGGTTTAGTACATTATTGATGAGGAGTTAAGGCACAGGTGATTAATGTGCTCATTTCAAACCCCCAAGCCAATCCATAGGAGAAAGATGTGGCAATCAGATTCCCTAAAGATTACAGCCTTGGAAATCCTACAGGGGCAGTTCTACTCTGTCCTGTAGGGTCACTGTAAGTTGGGATCTATCCACCGCAGCAGGATTTTTTTGAGGGGGTTAAGTCGTTGCTTTCATCACTATCACAAAAAGTTCTGTAAGAAAGAATTCTAAGTGACTCCTTTACTCTTCTACTGTCTATGATGTCATCAGAAATGAATAGAAAATACTAATCATCAGATTGGTATTTGATACTTGCCTAATAAACAAGATTTCTTAAAGAGAGTTGTGTCACTGGTACAATATAATTTCTCATTTTGAAAAACAATCTATGGTATTAGAATAGAGCAAGCTAACTAAAAGTATACCAACCTCACATAAATTGACTGAATTATACTCAAACAAACTAGCTTTCCTAAAATATGCTCAAAAGCTATTTCATTACTAGTGATAGCACTCCTCTTTAGTGTCTAAACTTGGTCCTGTATTTTAACTCTTCCTCAAGTATATCCTGTTCGCTTTAATGCCATATTTTCTTTTCTATTGAATATTATTTCTCATAAACTACGTTCTCCCACTCTCTCTTCTCTTTATTACATTCATTCTCTCCAAAAAACATACTCACTTAATCATTAGTCACCATACCAGTTCCCTGAAGACTGATTCTGTGAGATCCTTCATTCTCTTTCAGGGTGATCTGCTCGATGAAATAATGCTTTATATTTATTTTCTAGTTTTTTGTTTTGTTTTGGCTTTTTTTAAGAGAAACCACATAACACTATGCTTGTCATAACATAAAGTCAGTATCTAAAATAACTTGACAGCTAAAAGTCAGCATCTAAAAGAGACAATCTACTCCTTGTCTCTTGATTGATTGTTTCCCTTCCAAGAAAGATAAGGGCTTTGTACCTGGTCCAGTGATAATATCTGTTGTTGAATAAAGACATTGCTGTGTGGAATACCTTTCTACCTTCTCTGGAAAGCATTGATAATCAGGGAACCCAGCTGCCTGATTTAGGTCCCTTGGGAGGCATTAGAATCTGATATTAAACAAGAAGTCAGAAACTTGCCAAGGAAACTTAAATGGAAAAGGAAAGTCAGCATTCTATCTTGTTCCTCCCATCTGTCCTTTTACGCAAATATGAAGTATTCTCCCATGTACTTGCTGTGGCTCTAAAACCCAGTCCAACATCTCTGTTCAGTAATTGGGTTGAGGTTGTGGTTATAACCAGACCAAATACAGAGATTACAAAATGGTACCCACGGAGTGGTCTGGTTTGGCATACAGTGTTATGTGGTAGTATAAATTGAGTGGAATGCCTCCAAACGGGACAAGTGCTCTCTGGTCTGCCACACCCCCCAAATACTCCTATCGTATTTCACCTGAGCCAGTTCCTGATTTTGCATTACTACTGCTAACCTGTAGGTCAGTGATTCAAACCCACCAGCTGCTCTGCAGAAGGAAGACAGTGCAATCTACTTCCCTAAAAATTTACAGCCTCAAAAAACCAGTGAGGCTTGCCCTGAGTTGGAAATGACTCTATGGCAGTGAGTTTGGTTTTGGTTTGGTTTAGACTTAAACTTCATTTTTCTGGCCAAGTAACTTAAAATAAAAAGAAGGAATACAAAAGCAACATTAGGACATCTTTCATACTTACTCATATCCTGCATTTTTTCCTTTTCAGAATACCTCCTAAAACCCATTCTCATCATCCTGTTATTCAAAAATGGACTAAGAACTCATATCATAAAAGCACTTTGGTAGTTTTAGCTCACAAATTAGATTAAATAACAGGTATTTTCTCTAAAATAATCACAGAAACAGGACTATTAGCTGGTTATCTTTTCCTCTTTTTGTATGTAAATAGCTATTGCATGAGGTTGTATTTGATCTTTAAGCCTCAACACCTATAAATAGTTTTTATAATTTGTTCTTCAATATGTAGAACTGTATAATAAAGATGTTCAGTTTTCTCATGAATGTAGTGTATTCATAGATTGTTGGATTGCTCAAACTTTAAGATACAGTAACTCTTTGATCCTTAACATTTTAAGTTTTACTTCTGCTATTTGTTGGGAGCTCTGGTAGCATAGTGGCTAAGACACTTGCCTGCTAACCAGACGGCTGGCGGTTCAAACCCACCAGCCACTCCTCGGAAGGAAGGTTGGGCAATCCTACTATCCGTAGTGATACTGCCTCGGAAACCCAAGGAGGGGTCGCTATGAGTCAGGTTTGACTCGACGGCAAACAACAACAACAACAATTTGTTGTTAGAGTTGTTTCCATGAATCAAAGTGAGAGATTTTTCTATTATGTTTCTTCTATTTCAGATGATTAATATAAAATTACCATAATAACTACTATCCCTTTTTCCTTTGATGCTATTTATGTCTTGACCTGGGTGAAGGGCAAGGACAGGGAGAATCCTAGCACTGGTTTTATATCCTAAAACAAATTATATCCTCTTTTCCCTTTTCTCTGTTCTTCTCTGGCTCCTAGCCTGAGATTGATGGGGATCAGGTGAGGAACGGAATTGAGTGAGAATTGAGTCTTTAAAATAGAGGAAACAAGTAAGAGAAAGACCATTAGATTTGGTCAACTCATGTCTTTATGTTGTTAATTCAAATTTTCTTGAATGTTCAGTGGGCCTTCTCGTCATTTCAATAAGTTGATATTTAAAAATCACGACTTATTTATTGTGGGTTTGTAATATTTTTAATCTGTTTTTGCAGCTCTTTCGACCTTCTTGTGATTTTAACCTGACTGATCCTTACTGTCGACTTTTGGAAAACCAGTATAAAAGCCTCCATGATCCACATTTAAGAGCATACTATAAACGTAAAGATATCCTGAGGAGGTTAAAGAAAGGTGGCTACATCACAAGCAATAATAAAGTGGGTTGAAGATCACGTCTTGTTAATCAGTGAAAACCTTCATGGCTTAATAAAAAAAACTTCCAGGGAGACTATGTAAACTTTTAGTTGGTCATGAGAGGATGCTTAAGTTGAAATTGTGTAAGGTACTAACTGTTTGGGTCAAGAAAATTAGTCAACTGTTATTTCTAAATGAAGCTACTTATTCATCTTTTTTCTTCGATAGTATTGAAAGGTACCAGATGATTGAGGATTTAGAGATTCATAAATTATTTACCCAGCTATAGTATAGTCCTCTTTCTCTTTTTATAAATGGAGTTGTATATTTTCAAGGATTATTGCCCTATACACTTTTTAAAAACTTGAAATAAAATGGAAGCCTAGAAAAATGTTCAGGTTGATAAAATACATTCTTATTGAGGTTAAACATCATTGCATTGATATTTTATTTTAATACCTTATTGTGCACACTAAATCCCTTATTATGGTGTAACTATATTTTAAAAAGACTAATATTGGGATAGAAGTTCCCTGATGATTAGCAACTGTAGAAAGATACTGCTTGAAAATTGTTAGCAAAGACATTTTAGTACTTTTGATATCAAATATATTATGAAAATGTATATTTTCCTACTTTTTCTCTGGAAAGTAATTTCAATTATTGTTAAATATTTGTATTAACATATTTTTGTTTTGTTTTGTTTTAGATTGTATGTTCCTTGAGGGAATGGAATAAGTATAGGCAATATCTTACCAGTTTAAAATTAGATTTTGAAAGAAACTATGTAAGAGAACAAGTAAGTTAAATAACATAAATTTGTTTTCTTTGTGTATGGTTTGCAAGAAAGAACATTTTCTTATAATGTTCTAGTCTTTAATTATTTAGGTAATTAATCAAATAAGATTTTCAAATGAAAATTTAGAGTAAGAGTAAACAATACTTAAAGGTTACTATATTAGACCAAGAAGAGGAAAGGAGCCAAGTCATCTATTAATATACCAGTTGCAATTGACATAATTCAGTAATTAAATTGCCCCTCAGATGTGTTCCTATTTGGCATGAGCTGGCAGCGATAGGAAGAATCTATTGTGATAGCAAGATTTTAAACTGGAACCCAGAGCAACTTGAGTAATAGCTTAGAAACACTATGAATAGCTATATGTCTTACTGGTATCTCTGAGGTTATGGACAATGTGTGTTTATGCATTCATGTACATGCACTTGTATTCATTCAATTAAAGAAAAAATGTGTATTAAAGGTGAAGTAGAATAATTCGTATAAAGTGAGTTGTTGTTGTTGCTATGTGCCGTCAAGTCAGACCCAACTCATAGCGACCCCTCCTTGGGTTTCTAAGGCAGTATCACTATGGAAGTAGATTGCCCCATCTTCCTTCCAAGGAGTGGCTGGTGGGTTTGAACCACCAGCCTTCTGGTTAGCAGTCAAGTGCCTTAGCCACTATGCTACCAGAGCTCCCATAAATTGAGTAGGTAAAAATTTGATCCGTGACTCAAAGGTGTATGTGTTTATGTGTGTGTGAATTCATGTTTTAGATTTAAGAGAATTAGATAAAAATGAGAAAGGTTTGCTTAGATCTGTGTATATAAAATTATTTTCTCAGTCAAGAATATTGGAAAGAATGATTCCCTTACTTTTAAATATTCTATACTTTTCTCTCCATTTCTTTTTCTCCATACCTATAGATTTTTCTCTTTCATTTTCCCACATTTCATTTCTTAAGAATGGTTCCAAAAACTAAACTCACTGATGTCGAGCAGATTCGACTCATAGCAACCCCTCCTTGGGTTTCCAAGGCAGTATCTCTCTGGAAGAAAATTTCCCAGTCTTCCTTCTGAGGAATGGCTGGTGGTTTTGAACTGTCAGCCTTCTGGTTAGCAGTCAAATGCCTTAGGCACTATACTACCAGAGCTCCTTAAGAATGGTTAGAAAAATAAAATAATTAAATTGTATATTCAGAGAGAGAATTTTTTACTTTGGTTCATTGGCCCAAAATGGATTGAAAAATACACTTAAAGGCAGTTAAACAGAACTAACCATTTTATAAAGTATATGAATCTTACTAAGCTGTAAATATAAGAAAGGCATATCAAAAAACTGTTTTCTTTTTCTTATTTCATTTTTTTATATAAACTTATACATATATACACACAAAAGCATATACCCTTTTTTCTTTTAGAAAATGCTTGCAAAAAGAGTGAATAAACTTCAATACAATCCCCACATTCCTGAATGTTTTGATGTAACACAGTTCCAAAATTGGTTGTTACAGGAAGGCACCCAATCTACTAAGGACCAAGAACGGTTATTAAGGCACAGGTAAGATTGAAGTTAATATATATTTCATGCATATAGTGTGGATCAAATAAGTTGGAAAAACACTGGAAAGAATTGTTTGAGTCCTTAATATCCTTATATCCCTCAGTATGGAGAGGAAGGAAGGGAAACAAATAGGTATAGGTATAAGAATAGTAACCTTGCTGCCAGACCTAAAAAGGGAAATTGTTACTAGAGATGTTAGGGATGCTGGGAGCTCAAGAGTCTAAGTCAAACTGATGAATGAAGAAAAAAATCAGGTACAAAATTTTTCTCATGGCAGGAGAAGGGGAGGTAGGGAAAGTGTTTTTAGCACACGCCTAAAACAATAGCAGTTGTTTTGGGATTCATCTCTAAAGTTTCGGGATTCATCTCTAAAGGCTGACAGTATTTAGTAGGAAGAAGTTAGTGCACAGTCAAAAAAGAGCATATTGGTCTAATGCCACTATAAACTCTATTTTCTTTAAGAAACTGAGCTCATTCACCTATTACCTGTGCATGTTCAAACATTACCATTCTGTGCTCAAATCCGTTCTTTAGAAAGTAAGGGGATGAATTGCAGTTCCTTTTTCTCCTCCTTCATCAGGGAGTGGGTGGTGGGTGGTAAAGGATAGGGCTTTATTGCCTAAATTTTACATCTCATGGTGTCATTTTGTGGTAATGTTGTAATACATGTTTACCTACTAGAAATTCAGATTAAAGGTAGGAGATCTGAACAAGGACTTTTAAGTTACAGGGACTCACAGTACCCACCTTCTTGTTAAACACTAAAACTCACTGCCCTCGAGTCAGATCTGATTCATAGCACCTCTCCTTGGGTTTCCAGGGCCATATCACTATGGAAGGAAATTGCTCAATCTTCCTTCCGAGGAGTGGCTGGTGGGTTTGAACCTCCAGCCTTCTGGTTAGCAATCAAATGCTACTACTTTATCTTTAGCCAATATATTTTTGTTCAGCTCAAATTTGTTAAACTCAAATTTAAATTTACTGTTTTTTGTTTGTTTTGAGTCACCACTTAGGTTGATTTCAACCCTCTTTGCAATTCATATCCCCAAATCTACTGAATTTATAGATACTTATTGTTGTATTGTTGTAGAACATTTTTTCTCAGTCTGTTTCACATTAACCATTGTCTTGGCCATAATAATAGACTTATAGAAAAGATGTCTCCATGAGTTGAGTGGACTCAACAGCAACTTTTTAAGAAATACATTTTAATAGCAGAAACATCTGTTCAATGAGTAAAACATGGTGAGTTGGTAGCATAAAGGTCCATGAACAGGGCTGATTTATGAAACAGAAATTTCTGCAGTTCAAGAAATTAAAAAAAAAAAAAAGAAGTGGTTTAGGAACATCAAAGCAGTTAATGCTATCATAATGGAAACACCCAATTCACCGTCACTAATATTTGCACTTTTTCTTAGATATTTGGATATGATAAGTAGGGAATTAGAACTACTTGAGCGCACAGCAGAAGAGCAACGTCTACTCCAGAGGGAAAAAGAAGAAAGACGACAGCGGGAGCATGCAAGAAAAAAACTTACTCTTCGAAGAAAAATTGAAGAGGTCAGAGTTAAGAAGTTTAACTCTGTTTAAGAAGTGAAAGAAAATTTGTATTTGTTTTTGTTTTTCACTTGTAAATATTCTTCCACTCACACTGCTTGAAGTTGCTTCAGGTCTAAAGAATTTACCCTCATTAATCTTTTGTCACATTTATAATGTACAAGTTGTTACATAAAATAATGGGGCTGGTACTTCAAACTGTGTATCTGAGCCAATTTTTGCTCTTTAAAGTTTTAAAATTTAGCTTTAGTTTTAAAAAAATAAAAAACATAGGAATGCAGTAAGAAAAGCCCCTTCTAAACCCAGTGTATAACTCTGATTATGCACGACCTGATTTTTGTTAGCACTTTGATTTGTTCTAATTTGTATATCAGTGGTGGACAAACTACAAAAATATTATTATGAATGAGAACAGACAGTGAGTGCAATATTATCCTGCTCTAGGAATGGAAAGCAAAAGAGATGTTACTTCTGACACGGATTGGAGAAGATGTTAGAAGAGAAGCTAGAATTGAAGAACAACGGCGTAAGAGCAGAGAAGAGAGTGACCGGAAGGTAGGGTGAGCTTTGACCTCTGACTTATGCTGCTTAGTAGAAGCTTTTGCTATTTTTGATCTTTCAAAGCTTACTTTGTGAGATGACTATGCATCACTTACCCCAAATGATGTTGTTGTTATGTGCCCTCGAGTCCGACCGACTCATAGCGACCCCTCCTTGGGTTTCCGAGGCAGTATCACTACGGAAGTAGTTTGTCCAACATGCCTTCCAAGGAGTGGCTGGTGTGTTTGAACTGCCAGCCTTCTGGTTAGCAGTTAAGTGCCTTAGGCACTACGCTACCAGAACCCTAAATGATATGTATTCTATAAACTTTACAGTTATGAACATGCTATTTTAACTACATTATTCAAAGTAATGCCATATTTGATACAACCACTTTTGACTTGCATCTTCACAATTTAAACTGTAATTGTCATTCCTATAGAAAAAAATAACATAACTGGTTAATATTTTCTTAGAACCAGTAATTCTTGGTAAAAATTCTTAAACTTACCAACCACCAGTTAACTAACTAAATATTTTTAGTCCAACTTGTAAAAATATTAAACAACATAGTGTTGTATGAAAAAGAGAAGTCATCTGAAAGCCAACCATCACCCTATTCTTTGTGGTGTAGAAGTGAATGTACGCACACAAAACGCTCATTTGCATTTTTTTAAACTGATTTTCTCAAGCTTCCAGCTTTTTAGTGTTAATGTTTTTCTCTGTTGATTTTTGTTTTTCATTTCATTGATTTCTGTTCTGATCTTTATTATATCTTTTTTAAACTATTAAAAAAAAAAAAACCACCTCGCTGCCATTGAGTGGATTCTGACTCATGGCAACTCCCATTGGGTTTCCAAGGCTGTAAATCTTTATAGAAGCAGACTGCCTCATCTTTCTTCCACAGAGTGGTGTTGGGTTTGAACCACTAACCTTTTAGTTAGCAGCCAAATGACTTAACCACCACTCCACCAGAGCCTCTTAATATAAGCCTTTAGCATTGTAAAATTTTCCAGAACTACTACTTGTTGTTGTTGTTGTTATGTGCCGTCAAGTCGGACCCAACTCATAGCAACCCCTCCTTGGGTTTCCCAGGCAGTATCATGACAGAAGTAGATTGCTCCATCTTCCTTCCGAGGAGTGGCTGGTGGGTTTGAACCACCAGCCTTCTAGTTAGCAGTTAAGTGCCTTAGGCACTACGCTACCAGAGCTCCCCAATATATTTTTGTTCAGCTCAAAATATTTTGAATTTCCTTTGAGTTCTTCTTTGACAGATTGTTTTAAAAAGCCCTCTTAAATAGCTGTACTTTACTTTTTTATGCAATCTGACACTCTCTGCCTTTAATTGAGATGTTTAGGGCATTTACATTTAATGTGATTTAATGTACTTAGCTTTAAGCCTGTCATCTCACTGTTTTCTCTGTCTCATCTTTTTTTTTCTTTGAATTTATTTTTTTTATGATTCCTTTTAATTTATTTTGTTAGATTATGAGCAATAACTCTTTATTTTATAATTTTAGTAGTTACTATAAGCGATTATAGTATATAGCTTTACCTTATTAGGATCAATCTTGAAGTGATGTTATACCACTCTGCCAATAGTATAAGAACCATATAATGTTTTACTTCATTTTCTCCCTCTTGGCATTTATGCTGTTTTTATCACACATTTTATTTGTATATATCTTATAAATCCTGCAATGTATTATTAATTTTGTGTAAACAGTCATTTATCTTTTAAAGAAAATTTAATTAGTAGAAAAAAAATGCTCTCAGCTTCTGTATATTTGAAAAATCTTTATTGCACATTTATGCTTCAAATATTTTCAGAGTGTAGAATTCTCTTGTTGACTCCTTTTTTGTATGTGTGTGTACTTTAAAGATGCTCTTCTGCTGTCTTCTCTACATTGTTTCCAACAAAAAAGGTACTCTTTCTTAACTTTTTCTCTGAGTAACATGATTTATTTTTATGACTTTTAAAATTTTCTCTTTATAAACAGTTTTGAGCAATTTGATTATGTTCCTTGGTTTATTTTATGTTTGTTGTGCTTGGGTTTTTAGAGCTTCCTAGACCTGTGTGTTTATGATTTTCATCAGATTTGGAATATGTTCCATCATTATTATGAAATATTTCTTTTATTACCTCTCTCCTCTACTTAAAATATTTGAAGTAGAGATATATTAGGCTTATTAAAATTGCCTCATATCTCACATATGCTCTTTCCATTTTTCTTACATATATTTTTTTCTTTCAATGTATTCTTTTGGATGGTTTCTCTTACTGAAATTCGTTGACTAATTTCTTCTGCAACATTTCCTCTGCTGTTAATGCATCCATTGTATTATTCATCTTATATAAATGCATCTTTCATTTCTTATATCTTCTGTGTCTCTTCTTTACTTTGTAAACATACACAAATTCAAGGATGTATTTAATTCTAGTATTTGTGTAATTTCTAGGGCCATTTTAATTGATCGATTTACTCCTTTGCATAGATTGCATTTTTCTGCTTCTGTACTTGCCCGATATTGGATGTGAAACAATGTAAAGATTCATTTTTGGGAACTGAATATTTTCATAATCTTACTCCTCAAGATTTTTGTTTTGTTTTGTGATGTAGTTGACTTATTTAGAAAGTTTGATCATTACAGACCTTGCTTTTTAAAGATTTTTTAGAACCATGTTTAATCTGGGACTAATTATTCTCCACTTGGGAGCTCTGGTAGCATAGTGGCTAAGGCACTTGACTGCTAACCAGAAGGCTGATGGTTCAAACCCACCAGCCACTCCTCGGAAGGAAGGTTGGGCAATCCTACTTCCGTAGTGATACTGCCTCAGAAACCCAAGGAGGGGTCGCTATGAGTCGGGTCCAACTCGATGGCAAATTAACAACCACAACAACTGAGGTAATACCCACTTAAGTATTCTACCCACTGGCCTGTGACTTATGAAAATTTTTTAGTGTGGCTGTGGGAACTGCATGATTTCCAGAGTACTGTAGGTGACAAGCACTGTTACTTTTAATCCTTTAGGATGGTTCTTTCTGTTGACTTGGATATTTTCTTACTAGTGTTATAATCCATTTTCTGCTGAATCTCTGAGATTTCTGAGAATCTCTGAGATTTTTTATTTTCTTTCTTTGTGTAATTCTGTCTTTTGTGGTACCTCCAGAGATTTGCAAAAGGAAGTCACATTTCATGAATTTTATATTTTACATATGGTAGACCTGGTTGACTTTTGGCTTCAGTCCCTCAGGAATCCTCCAGTTAAAGATAATTAAGAAGTTGTCTGAACTCCCTAGTTTAGCCATGGACTAAGAGACATTATCTGAACTGAAATTGGACCGATTTCCTAAAAGTATGTGAGATACATTACTTCTAAGTGTTAGAAACAGTCCTCTTCATGTTTGACTGCAGATGGAAATTTACCCCTTACTACCTCCACCCTCAAGTTTGTACTCATTATTATCTTATATGTCTCAAGACAGGAGTGATTTCCTATGTACTGTCATTTCCAATGTATTGTCATATGTTAAATATGTTTGCATTTCTAAATGGATAGTTGGTATTAACCAATATGTTTTCTGTAATATTTTAGAAACATGCCCTTATAGAGAAAAAAATGGCTTATCATTTACAAAAAATGCAAGAGATTGGTGATAGAAAAGAAGAGACGGAAAGAAATACATTTGAATACAGGGGACAAGACGGAACATATTGTGAATGTAAGAACACTGAAAGAAAAATGTAGCTAAGTAGAAGATGCTTATTTATGTATTTATGTGTTAATGGTCTTTATAAAACTCCTCTCTGTGTTTAATACTTGCTACCTGCTTTGTGCAAGGCATTAGTCTAGGCATTTCCTCATTACAGCTCAAGTTTAAAAGTAGAGCTATATGTAACCATAATAACAAACGAAAACAATAGTGTAAAGTGGACTGATAGAAAGCTTATCTGTAGTGTAGTTCTAATCAAGTTCCCTATAATTAAAAAAACATTTTTTTTCCCACTGAAACTTAAAAAGTCATGTGTAAGATAATTGCTATTATATACTGACATGGTGTTCTGTGTTTCTAATCAGTAATAATAAACAAAACTGGAAAAAAAAAGAGGAAGCGAGAAGGAAGAGAGGATGGAGGTAGAGAAGGATGGAAAGGAAGGAAGAGAAAGAAAGAAATGAAAAATGCTTAAAAGGAGGAACATAGACTTGCTTTTATTTATAACATTATAAGACCATAGTGGTATTCCTTCCCCTTGATATTAATGAAATTTTCAAAGTCAGAAGGTAAAAAGTATAGACTAGTTTGATCTGTGACTATGTAGTGTCAGGAAAGAGCATGATCATCTTCCTTGCACCTATCATCATAATACTGTGTTTCTCATAGCTGTCCATTAATCATATTTCTAGGGCACAGCCTCCTTAAGTCACCCCACTAGATTCTTTTGTTATTATTTCACCTAATTACACTTAAAACTCTGTTCTGATGGTTTCATCTCCTGCTCAACAAGTTTAAAGAGTCCCTTTACCTAATAAATGAAGCTCAGACTACTTCCAACCCAGCTTTTAATTTTATTTCACACTTTATCTCTGAAGAAGGCAGCTATGGTTTCAGATTGATGCTCATAGGCTCTGGTGTCAGAATGCTAAAGCGTAAGTCCTACTTTACCATTTATTAGCTACATGACCTTGGACAAATTTTGCATCCACTCTGAGCCATCTGAAAACAAATGTAATATTCCTACATAATCTCTGTGAAGAGCCCAACAGTCTATATAGGCTATAGTAAGTCCTCAGTTTATTTCATTGAGCAGTCATATTAGAGTGCTGATCATTCCTAAACAAAGGTTTGCCTTTGGTACTTCTTTGCCTCTATTTTGCATTTTCCTCAGCTTAGAATAACCTGCTCATCATCTACATCTATCAAATTCTATAATTCTTTAAGCCACACCTATGACACTTCATAAAGTTTTTGTTTACAGGATTTGTTTTGTTTTGTTTTTGGATCACACTAACTGGAAGAACGCTCTCTTTAGAACCCATATAGGATTCTGTACCATTCTTGGTACACTTACTGCATACTTTTGTTTTAACATTCCGTAGTATTGTAAAATTCCATTTTTATGTTTTACAGGGCATGTAGTACAATGTTGTTGTTAGGTGCCGTCTGGTCAGCTCCAACTCATAGAGACCCTATGCACAACCAGTCCTGTGCCATTCTCACAATCCTTGCTATGCTGAGCCCATCACTGCAGCCACTGTGTGAATCGATCTCATTGAGGGTTTTCCCCTTCTTCGCTGACCCTCTTATTTTATGAAGTGCAGTATCCTTCTTCAGGGAATAGTCCCTTCTGACAACATGACAAAAATAGGTGACACAAAGTCTGGCCTTTCTCACTTGCAAGGAGCATTCTGGCTGCTTTTTTTCCAGTTCAGGTTTGTTTGTTCTTCTGGCAATCTGTAGGATTTTCAGTATTCTTCAATACCACAATTTGAAGGCCTCATCAACTCTTCTTCAGTCTTCCTTACTCATTGTCAAGCTTTCACATGCATATGAGGTAATTGAAAATATCATGGCTTGGGTGAAGCACACCATACTCTTCAAAGTGACATCATTGCTCTTAAACACTTTAAGAGGTCTTTTGCAGCAGATTGTACCAGTGCAAAATGACCTCTGATTTCCTGACTGTAGCTTCCACGGGTGTTGATTGTGGATCCAAGTACAATGAAATCCCTGACAACTTCAGTCTTTTCTCCATTTATTGTGATGTTGCTTATTGGTCCAGTTGTAAGGATTTTTGTTTTCTTTATGTTTACGTGTAATCCATACTGAATACTGTAGTCGTTGATCTTCATCAGTAAGTGCTTTAAGTCATTTTCACTTTCAGTAAGCAAGGTTGTGTCGTTGGCTTATTGCAGGTTGTTAATGGTTCTTCCTCCAATCCTGATGCTGCGTTCTTCTTCATATAGTCCAGCTTCTTGGATTATTTGCTCAGTATAGAGATTGAATAAGTATAGTGAAAGGATATACAACTCTGATGTATACCTTTCCTAATTTTAAAACATGTATAATCTCCTTGTTTGTTCTAATGACTGCCCCTTGGTCTATGTACAGGTTCCTCATGGGAACAATTAAGTGTTCTGAATTCCCATTATTTGCAATATTATCCACTATTTGTTATGATCAACACAGTCAAATGTCTTTGAATAGTAAATAAAACACAAGTAGACATCTTTCTGGTCTTCTTTGCTTTCAGCCAAGATTCATCTGACATCAACAATGATATCCCTCATTCCACATCCTCTTCTAAATCCAGTTTGCATTTCTAGAAGTTCCTTGTCAATATACTGCTGCAACCATTTTTTAATTATCTTCAGCAAGATTTTACTTGCGTGGGATATTAATTAATAATTTTGTTTGATAATTTCCACATTGTGTTGGATCGTGTTTCTTTGGAATGAGCACTAATATCATTCTCTTCCAGTTGGCTAAATTTTTGGCATAAATGAGTTAAGTGCCTCCAGCACTGCATTCATTTGTTGAAACATCTTATTGGGTATTCTGTCAATTCCTGGAGCTTTGTTTTTAGCCAATTCCTTCAGTGCAGCTTGGACTTCTTTCTTCAATATAATTGGTTCTTGATCATACCAAGAAACCTCCTGAACATTTGGACATTAATCTATTCCTTTTGGTACAGTGACTCTGTGTATTCCTTCCATCTTTTTTTGATGCTTCCTGCATCATTCAATATTTTGCCCTTAGAATCTTTCAACATTGCAACTTGAAGCTTGAATATTTTCCTCAGTACTTTCAGCTTGAGAAATGCTGAGCATGTCCTTCACTTTTGGTTTTCTAACTCCAGGTCTTTGCACATTTCATTATAATAATTGACTTTGTCTTCTCAAGATGCCCTTTTAAATCTGTTCAGTTCTTTTATTTCATTAGTTCTCCATTCGCTTTAGCTACTTTACATTAAAGAGCAAGTTACAGAGAGTCTTCTGACACCCATTTTGGTCTTTTTTTCCCTTTCCTGTCTTTTTAATCATGGTTTGCTTTCTTCATGTATGATGCTTTTGATGCCATCCCACAAGTCATCTTGTCTTCAGTCATTGGTATTCAGTGCATCAATTCTACTCTTCAGATGGTCTCTAAATTCAGGTGAGATATAATCAAGGTCATATTTGGCTCTTCTGGACTTAGTTTAATTTTTTTCAGCTTCAATTGGAACTTGCATATGAGCAATTGATGGTCTATTCTACAGTCAGCTTCTGGCCTTGTTTTGACTGATGATATTGAGCTTCTCTATTACCTCTTTCCACAGACATAGTCAATATGATTTCTGCATGTTCCATCTGGCGAGGCCCATGTGTGCAGCTGCCATTTATGTTGTTTAAAAAAAATGTATTTGCTATGAATAAGTCATCGGTCTTACAAAATTCTCTAATGTGATCTCCAGTGTGATTTCTGTCATCAAGGCCATATTTTATATCAATGAGTCTTTGTTTTTAATTGTCACATTCTAATCACCAGTAATCATCAATACACATTGATTGCGTGTTTGGTCAATTTCAGACTGAAGAAGTTGGTAAATATCTTCAGTTTCCTCACCTTTTGCTTTGGCAGTTGGTGCATAAATTTGAATAATAGTAGTAATACCTGGTTTTCCTTATGGGCATATGGATATTATCCTATTACTGCCAGCATTGTATTTCAGATAGATCTTGAGATGTTATTTTTGATGCTGCATGCAATGCCGTTTCTCTTCAATTTGTCATTCCTGGCATAGTTGGTCATATGATTGTCTGATTCAGAATGGCCATTGCCAGTCCATTTCAGCTCATTAAGGCTTGGGATATCGATCTTTATACATTCCATTTCATTTTTGACAACTTCCAATTTGTCTAGATTAATGTAACTCCAGGTTCCCATTATTAATGGATATTTGCAGCTGTTTCTTCCCATTTTGAGTCATGCCCCATCAACAAATGAAGGTCCTGAAAGCTTTACTCCATCCATATCAGCTGGAATGCTCCTCGGAAGAGAGACTGGCCAGACTTAATCTGACCTACTTTGGTCAAGTTGTCAGAAGGGACCATTCCCTGGGGAAGGATATCATGCCTGGTAAAGGGGAGGATCAGTGGAAAAGGGGAAGGCCCTCAACAAGAGAGATTGACACAGTGACTGCAACAATGGGCTCTGGTATAGCAACAATTGTGAGGCTGGCACATGACCAGGCAGTGTTTTGTTCTGTTGTACATAGGGTCGCTATGAGTCAGAACCCACTCGACAGCACCTAACAACTACTACTCTGGGGAAGCAGCTCTTCCCCACTCATATTTTGAGTGCCTTCCAACCTGAGGGACTCATCTTTAGGTATTATATGAGACAATGTTTCATGGGTCTTCAAAAAGTTTTCCAATTATATATCAGAAAGTGTTTCACTGCTATCTATAAGGGTTTCAGGGGCCAGTTTCTTCAGAAGTATATGGTCCCATGCTTCTTCTCAGTCTGTCCCCATCTGGAAGTTCTGCTGAAACCTGTCCACCATGGGTGACCCTGCTGGTATTTGAATACTAGTGGCATGTCCTTCAGCCTCACAGCAACACACAAGCCACCACAATACAACAAACTGACAGACGAGTGGTGGTATAGCACAATATCTATGCTGAATACATGTTTGTTGAAGGGACTAATTTAATCTATTCTGTTCATTGAAGCAATGACACAGCAACATCATGCTTCAGATAAAACATCACTTAGCAATTATTATGTCCCTCCATTTTCCAGTATTAACTTTCATATCTAATAAAAGTTTCAAGTACATATTTTAACATTTGTTACCTCAAATTCTTTTTTTTAATACATAGGATATAAATGCATTTAGTTTCTTTTAGCAAGGTGAAAAAGAATAAGGAGGAGATCTATTTCACAAATGAAATTGAAGTATACCACTATAGTAATACTGACATTTTCACCAATTAGACGGATTCCAGAAGAGTCAGAGAGAGGTGAAAAGGGGACATTAGATGAATCACTGCAATGATCAGTGGGGGGAGACAGATCACTCTCACATTCTACAGCTCTAAAGAAAATTCCCTGTATACCCATGCAGTAGGAATCCTTTGCCCACCTTTGCCACAAGAATGATAATCATTCTGTCACAAAAAAGAGATATGTATATGATTGTTTATGCCTGGATATAAGACACATTCAAGACTTGTCATGGTCCTTGTGGACTGGTGCATCACCAACCCAATCACCATGCTGGTATGTATCCCTACAAAGCAGACATGTCACACTCCATTTGTGTCGCATATAGCTTTTCCGTTGGAAGAAAATGCTGTCTCTCCAAGTATAACTTTTAATTTTACGGGACAATATTTCAAGAGTAATTTTCCTTTCTCCCACGTCACATCTCTCTATCCTCTCCAAATCTTCCCTATAAACCATGAACAGATTAACATATGGTTCACCTGTTCTTAGGCATGGAGGAATAAATAGAGTCTATCATGGATACTTCTGTCATCACAATTATTAAAAAGAAGTATTTTATTACATTTCTTTAAGCTTCTTCTCCAAAGAAAAAGAAGAGTTATGATGATGGAAAGACAGCTTTTCCTGGAAATAAAGGAGTAAATGGTAATTTAATATTACAATAAGAAATCCACAATAGTGATTTTGGGGAAAGACTGAGTTTTGTGATGACCTCTTTTGCTTCCAATGCAAGTAAATCCTCTGTCCTTCTTTGTCAAATGACTTATTTAGATTGATGCTTACTAACAATGATGCAGCCTCTTAATGCCATCTAAATTCAGATCCTTCATTACTTATGTGGTGGCTCCATGTGTGCATCCTTGCCATTACATGGTATTGTCAGTATTTTTTTTTTTTTTTTTTTTAGACATTCTACTAGGTGGTTCATTGTGGTTTTAATTTGTGTTTCTTTCGTGAATAATAATATCTTTTCATGTCCTTTTAGCTTTTTGTAAATCCTGCTTAGTGAAGGGTCTACTCAAAACTTTTACCTTTTTTTTTTTTAATTGTGTTATTGTTTTACTGTTGACCCTTGAGAAATCTTTATATATTCTATGTATAAGTCCTTTTTAGATGTGTGATTTACTAATATTTTCTCCCAGTCTGTGATTTATCTTTTCATTTTCTCATCAATTGATGTATGTGCCTATCCATTTGTCAATATTTCACTCTCTTGATTATGTTGTTGTTGTTCAGTATTGTTGAGTCAATTTTGACTCATAGTGATCCCATGTGACAGAGATTATAGTAACTTTTTATTAAATCTCAAAATAGGGCAATATAATTCTGCCAACTTTATTTTTCTCTTTCAAAATTGTTGTTGCCATTTTAATTTATTAACCTTTTTATATAAATTTTATAATCAGTTTGTCCATATCCATAAAGAATCATACTTAGACTTTTAAATAAAATTGTATTAAATCTGTAAATCAGTTTGAGGAGAAAAGACATCTTTACTGTGTTTTACAATCCATGAACATAGTATGTATTTTTGTTTATTTCTATCTTCTTTCATTTCTTCATTACCCACTGCCATGGAGTCAGTTCTGACTCACAGTCACCCCCATTGGGTTTCCAAGGCTGTAAATCTTTACAGAAGCAAACTGCGTCATTTTTTCTTCCTGGAGCAGCCTGTAGGTTCAAACCACCAACTTTTTGGTTAGCAGCCAAATGCCTTACCCACTACAGTTAACATACTGATCCTGGATTTGTTTTGTTAGATTTGTACCTAAATACTTCTCTTTTTTTGGGGGGGGGGGCAAGGAGTACTATTGCAAGTCATTTTTGTTTTGCTTTGTTTTGGGTTCCAGTTACCCATATATAGGATTCATTTTTAAATTGTTTTTACTTTAATTTGTCTTTACTTTATCACTTTGTATGGATTTTTAGTGTTTTGTTCTAGCGTCATGCTGGACTTAATTAACTTTTCACAATCTACTATTAACCTATATTTTATCTTTTTAAGTGGAATATGGAAACTTTACTACCATATGTGTCCCTTGCATCCACTTACTGTTACAGTTGGCTTCTGTATTCTGTCTATATACATTGAACATCCAGTCAGACAATCCTGGTTTTGCTCTTAACCCAACATATATTTAAAAAAAAAAAAACTCAATTAAGAAATAATAGTCTGTTATGTTTACCTCAGTAAAGTTGTTAAAAATTATGAGATTTCTCTTTCCTTTTAGGTTGTACAACACATAATGTTCACCATTCTCAAATTAGTTCAATGAATGCTCTCAAAAAAGCAGCACCTTCAGTTGTTCATCAACCAGATGTACAGGGTAGCAGTACAGAACAAAAGGTATGATGTCTCAAACTTTTTTGTAATGATTATTAATTTGTCTTGTTAACTTTTACTTCTTTAGACTATCTCTTTCTCTAAAATGGTACTGATTGGTTGAAGACATTGAGGTCTGTGCATGAGACCTGATCCCTAACCCTGACAAGGAAGTCTTGTGTTAGCTGTTACGCTAAATGCCCTGTATAATTTAGGAACTAATTCAAATAAATGTGTAATAATTATACTAACAAGAATAGCTACTATTGAGCATTTTTTGTTGGCCAGGCTAAACCAGATACAAGGGAAAATTAGGTCACAAAGAGTACAAATATAAGACCATCATTGCCTTTGAGGACTCACAGTCTAGTGGGGCAGACAGACACAGATAAATGTTATTACAATAAAGTGAGAGACTGGAATGATAAACTTTATTTTGTTTCTAAGTTGTATGTTCAGTAGCACTGGATTGAATTAGATTGGATTGGATTAGGTTGGATTTCTCTGAAACAGTTTGAATGACTTAAGCTTTTTAGAACCAAGCACTGAGTGGATTACCATTCCTTTTAATGAAATTTTAAATACTAGAGCAGGAGAAAATGTACAAACTTTGAGTTTAGTTTTAGACTATTTAAATTTGAGGTATCTGTGGAATTATCTAGTAGTAGGTTGATAATATGTATTGAAACGATTTCCATGAGTTAGTTAGGGACTATTCATTTGGTTGGTTGAGAAAAGGTAAAATCTTTCAGAATGTAATTACTAATTAATGTTTTTCTTTTGAATGTTGTACCATTTAGAATGATGGAGAGATAACTAAAAACTCAAATATTTTTGATAATACAGGTAAGAAAATGAAAAATATTTGTAATTGTTCTGTTCTTTGCTAAGTAAATAATTATAGTTTCATTATTTTTTTCAAATTATGTGTTTTACTTCTTTATAAAAATTGTGCTTATTTTGAAAAATAAAGAAGAGTGTAAGAATTATTATAATTAGCCCCTATTTTTGAGTGATTAGCCTACCAACCACTCCATGGAAGAAAGATGTGGCAGCCTGCTTCTGTATAGATTTACAGCCTTGGAAACCCTATTGGGCAGTTCTGCTCTGCCCTATAGGGTGTCTATGAGTCAGCATTGACTCGAAGGCAGTGGATTTGGTTTCTAGTTTGGGTTTGAGTGATTGCTGAATGATTTGATTTTGGAAATTGTAGAGTATGGAGCGGTTAGTGCTTTTGCTCTGACTTTTTATGATCTCACTCAACTCTTACTGCTGTTGAGTTGGATCTGACTAATAGCGACCCCTTCTGGGGTTTCTGAGGCAGTATCACTACGGAAGTACGTTGCCCAACCTTCCTTTCGAGGAGTGGCTGGTGGGTTTGAACCGCCAGCCTTCTGGTTAGCAGTCAAACGCCTTAGGCACTACACCACCAGAGCTTTTTATGATAGGCAGAATAATTTCCTGACATAATTCCTGACAATAATTTCCTGAGAGTTCAGAGAACTCTCTCCAGGAAGGCCCCTATAACCCATTGTCATCTTTTCTCCCAGAAACGTATCCTGTTTCCATGTCCCCTAGAATGAGTTAGATTTAAGTCCTTTCATTCCTAGCTAGCTTCCTGCATGCCTCTAAAAAGTGTCCTGCTTATCTGGCATATATACACAAAGAGCACCAGACATCTCCATCTGGTAGCTGATAACCAACTCAAATTGAATACAATAAAGGCCAAACTCATCATCTTTCTGACTCTCTTGTTTTCTTTCGCTGGACACAAAATCTGACCCACTTCTGACTCTTTATCTTTCTTGTATTTTGCATCCCAAATTTGCCCCTTTCTGTCTGATTTACCTCCTTGATTTCTCTTGTCTTTCTCTTTCTTGCATTTTTCCTGCTCCTGCCCTTGTTCCTTCTATCCCTGACAATTGCAGTAAATTTCCTCTAATCTCTTATTTCTTTCTCTTTTTAATAATCCATACATTTTTGTTCTGAAAGCAGTCTTCCTAAAATACATTTTTTTGATTATTCCCTATTTGTTTCAAGGGTGGTTTCCCATTGTTTACCAAATGAAATGTAAACAGCTAATTCTGGCAGTGAGCTGTAGTGAGTGGCAGGAGATTAAGCTGCCATGGTAAATTAAATAAAGACCAGAGGTTAAGAATTTCAGACTTTTCCCTGAAGGCAGTCGTGAACCACTAGAAATTTGTAGGCAGTGAACATCAGAAAAGGTCATTTTATACTTGGAGATCCTGGCTGAACTCAAATAAGGAAATACCCAGTTGTGGTCATTCCAGTTCTGTGGCAGCTCAGCAGGGAGAACTTTGAAATAACCCTGTGCATTAGAAATTCAACCTTTTTCTATCTATACTATTTTCTCATATTTAAAGTTACCTCTTCTTTTTTTAGGTGCTATTAACTTCTCAGCTCAAACTCCAGTTATTTCAGCTCAAACTTCACCCACAAAAAATGTTTCCAAACCTTCACAGACTTTTGTGGATCATTCAAAAGAAGAAGCATGTAATTCTTCTTTTGTCCCAAATGCAGGCAGAGTAAAGGAGGTACAATCTTATGATTATTATTGATATAAAACAATTTTATTAAATAAGAGAACATACAAAAGATCTAATTCTCTGAAATTCATCAGACTGCAGTAAAATTTTAATAGCCCTTGAGTACAGGTCAGTGCATAACCTGCAACATAACTCACAGCCTTCAGAGGAAGCATCAAATTGAGCTACATTGAATCATTTTTGTACTAGTGCTGACAGATTGCTCAGATACAACCATTCCCTTTGATCAGTGATCAGTGACCTGTTGTTGCAAAGTTACCAGCAAAGATTCAGGGTATAGCCTCCGCACATGACATGTATTTTGTGGGTTGCCAATTTTCTATGATAGGCATAAAATCAACATCCTTGATTCTATTGTTGTTGTTATGTGCCATCAAGTCATCTCCAACTCATAGCGACCCCTCCTTGGGTTTCCAAGGCGGTATCACTACGGAAGTAGATTGTCCAATCTTCCTTCCGAGGAGCAGCTGGTGGGTTTGAACCGCCAACCTTCTGGTTAGCAGTCAAGTGCCTTAGGCACTGCACCATATTAGCACAGTGCTAATTGGTGCTAAGAAGTCAACGCAGTTTCAAACAGATTTCAGAAAACTAGGAATTTACTAAATTTTCCCTGAATAAATTCTCTTGGTTAAAGTAGAAAATGATATATTTTTCCCATGTCCTGTAATGCATAATTGCTAGACTAAATTATTTATAAATACTAAAATACAGGATATTTCCCCGAGTGTGCTTCTTGGTAGTACAATATCATTATAAATAAACATTTGACAAGTCCATACTTAGTGGGAGGCACTGAGCTACTATGTCAGTGGCTACATTAAGTTTGGTAAGAGACTGAAAAAGAAACTTAACAACTTTGACAATTTGAAGTCCTTATGTTGGCTGACAGATCCAATATCCTTAACTAAAAAAGCCTTCTAAATTAAAAAAATATATATCTGTCTGAACTTGATTTAGTAACATGTTTTAGGTATTGTGTGTATTATTAACTTGGTTATCCATGTTACTGAAATGAATACCTCAAATGGTCACAAATACCTAATTTGAGAAATACCCACCAGCTTTTTATTGTGATCAATATTATTTTTTCAACATGTACAAAACTATCACTGTTAGAAAAAGGTACTTCTGATGGCCTGGGTTCAGCCTGGGGAAAGCTTAAATGTATCCCACTGGATTTGTCTTTCTGTACTCCTGAGTCGGTTGAGCTCATGACTGAGTCCAGAGAGCAATATGGATCCCCATGTGTGCAGAGACACACATTCTGCTTTCCAACTCTTCTGACACTTTTCTCCCATGGTTAGCTTTATTAAAAAATAAAATAAAGTAATAAAAGCCCGTTTTTCTGTCCCATTAAGTTGATAAACTACCTTGTTCAATATGCATTTCACAGGTAGCTGATTTAGGATACCGGTGAATACATTTTTGCAAAAAAGAGTAAATGTTACAGGCTTGAAATTGCTACCTTGAGAACCTTTCTTGCAAGGTTGGCCCTCAGCTGATGTGTGGGAATTTATTCGGCTGGTAAACAATTCTCACTGATATGAAACTTCCCCTGAGAACAGTGGTTTACTGTGCTTACATGAGGAAACAATGTGATTTATTCTGAACACCTACTTTCCTTCTGTGAGTCTGGAATTTTGGTATGTGGCATAGAGGGTGTACATGACTAGCCTCCAATAAAACCCTTCAGTGCAGAGGAGTTTCTAACGGACTTCCCTGGCAGAAACATTGCACACAAGTTCCTGCATTCCTTATTGCTGGAAAAAGAAACACCCTCAAATATATCTTCTCACAAGAGGTAGAAAGCATCAGGAAAGCTCTGCTTGAACTTCTCCAGGCTCAGCTATTATCTTTTGTCCCTGCTGAACCAATCACGTATCCTTTTGCAGTAATCAATCTTAGACATGAGTATTGAATCATATGAGTTCTAGCAAATCACTGTGGAGCTTTGATAAAATAAGGAAATCTTTAGTGCCATGAATAATTATGCAATACAAATGAAAATGTGTAAATTTTTATAAATTATCATTTAAGTGAAGTTCTTAAGACCATTTATTGAATTTCTGAATCTTAAATATAAAAATAATAGCTGATATTAAAGTTCTAGAAAAAAAATCCTTTGGGCATCTGTTTGTTTTTGTTGTTGCGGATTATATAGAGGGAGATAAATGCTGATTTGAAAGAAAGACCAGCCAGGAGATTATGCTGTTTCTGTCAATCAGGTAAACATCAGCAGCATTTATTGAGTAAATCATGCAAACTACTAATTCATTCCTCCAACTAAGATTTATTGAGTTCTTGCTTCATGCCAGGTATGGTGCAAAAAGAAAAAACATGGTTTCTACCCAAGGCTATTACATTGTAGTGGGGAGATAGTTATTTCAATATAATAACCTAATATGATAATATGGGGATCTCTGGTGGCATAGTACCTAAGGCATTTGACTGTTAACCAAAAGGCTGGCACTTCAAACCTACCAGCCACTCCTCAGAAGGCAAGTTGGGCAATCTACTTCTGTAGTGATTGCCTCCGAAACCCAAGGAGGGGTTGCTATGAGTCGGATCTGACTCGACAGCAGTGAGTTTGGAATACTAGCATATGGAATCCTAGCCAAAGAAGGCACTGGAGAGGTAAACGTGGATGTCAATCTTAAGATCTATTTTATGCCTTGTTAAAGAATTTAGACTTCTTTGCAGCAGTGATGGGAAGTCCCTGCCATTTTTTAAACAAGGCAGTAAGAGCAAAAATAAAGACCAAAGATGATAACTATGTTTTTTTTTTTTTTTTTTTT